AATGAAATGAGATGGAAAGGTGCAAATGCCAATTTTGAAACGATAGGATGATTTGCGCAATGAGTGCAAACAATGATGACGTAGTGCTAATTATCCTAAAATTATAAGTTTTTGAAATTATAATTTGATAGAAATAAATGGTGTGCAGAAGTGGGTAGTAGTTGTGAATCCTCCAAAATGAGTGAACAAAATTACGTTTGACTTTAACCATTAAATTATAAGGAAATTCTAATATTTTGGAAGCATGCACGCTATAGAAATCATGCATAAAATATAAGTGAGAGTTTATGACCGGTATACATTTTATATTTCTGGGGAGAGAGGTGGGGTGGGGGTGGGGGTGGGTAAAAAGGAAATCGTTGTGGTGGTCACAATATATATAGAATCAGCTATCCACTTTTAACTTAATATTTCTCAATCGATGAGTGTCTATTATAGAATCCCGTCATGAAGGTTGCTATATTTAGTTGAGAAAACCTTTTCAGAATTGTAGCATACAAGGAGTAATGTTTACAGAGCTTTCTCTAAGATTTGTCCTTACATTTTGTTCTCCACTTGCCTCTATTGTTTTTGCCCCTTTGTTTCTCTTTTCAATTTCTTTATGAGTTTTATTTGAAAGTTGTTGTATTTAACGTTGAAATATGTCATGCTAAATTTAGATTAGAGTTTCTTTATGGGGTGCTTGTTGACATTTTCTTTACAGGTCCTCACCGAACCAAAAAATGCTCTCGGTAAGCAGTACAAGAAATTATTTAGCATGAACAAGGTGTGCATTTTTTTCATGTAGCCAGGACTGTCCTGACCACTCTCCCCCATCATTCAATGTTTAAGTCAAATGGGTTACTAATTTCTATGTTATGTATATATTCCAGGTGAAGTTACATTTCTCAGAGAAAGCGTTAAGACTTGTTGCAAAGAGAGCAATGGCAAAAAATACTGGTGCGAGAGGGTTAAGAGCAATACTGGAAAGCCTTTTAACTGATGCTATGTATGAGGTAAACAACCTTGCTGCTGCATGTTCTAGGCATCATGATTATCTAATTAATGTTTATTGGTTGCCATAAGGTCTTATTATTTTTATCAACTTCTAGTTGAAACACTATATTGTACTGTTTAGATTCCAGATGTGAAGACAGGAAAAGATAAAATAGATGGTGTGGTTGTTGATGAAGATTCAATAGGCACAAAAGATGCCCCTGGATGTGGGGTGAAAATTCTTCATGGTGATGGTTCTTTGGAGCAGTACCTTGCGAAAACCAAATTGCAAGATCAAGAGGTATGATCTTATTGCACATCAAGGTGGATTGTATTATGTTTAATTTTAGCATCACCATTTAACGTGTTTTCTAGGAGGGTGTTGGGAGATCTGAAGCAGAGTCTCAGGAAGGTGAATCAGAAGTCTCATCGAGAGCCATGAGCATTTAACTTTTATCTGCATCCTCTACTGACCTCTTGAGCGAGTCGTTTTCTTCTTCATTGCATTATAAAAGTTGCATTCATTCATAATTATTAGTTGTCGTCTTGTAAGAAAGTATAGCATCTGGTGGTTAGTAGCAGATAGGCGATGAAGGATAAAAAGAAACAAATTCATAGTATTTGTCATTCTGATTTAAGCAGTTCATTGTAGAAATTCCCATTCTATAGAGGGTATAGCTTATGCACAAATTTGTTGTACGCTCTTTTACGTTTTTTGTAATGATGCATAGATAAATTATGCTAATTTTAGCTTCTTTGTGTACTTTGTGTTGGTGGCAATAAATCTTGAACTCGGCTGCATATTTCTTTTTCCCTGCCAAACTGGTAATTCAGGATTGAGTTTGCGACCTTTTTCCCCCCTTTTCTTCTCTCTGTAAAACATTATTTATATGATATCACTAGACTCTGGCGAGATAAAAATGGCATCCAAACGCTTTGCTTAGCTAATGTAGAGAACTGGCGTTTGGGCTACTTTACTTCCTCTTGGGATAACATGATACGAGCTACACAATCCACTTCCCTAAACAACTATATATCATAAAAAAATGGTCACGTTTGGTGCCAAACCGAACTCACCATGACAATTGTTCATCGGAGTGAATCTCTTTGCACTTGATGTACTTGGAACCCTGTCGATCCTCTGCAACTCAACCAAAGGAAAACCCGCCACTCTCTGATTGTGCTGCCCGTACACAGTCCAAATGGTCTCAAATAACAGCTCGTGTACCATAATGACCGTTCTCAGCCAAAACTTCTGCTGGGGTCTTGGATTTCCATACTCCTACTTGGTTACATTCGCCCCCAAGTAATCCAACGATGGCACCCTATGAACACTACTGAACCCCTACACAAGTTACTCTGAAACACCCCCATTAACACATCTTTAATATTCCCAGCTTGATTAAAGGTTCTAAGCGAGTTCACCAGCCCGTAGACTTCCAAACTTCCTTTGCAACAACAAATGTGCACAAGACATGAGTACTAGTTTTGTCCTTCCCACAATGAGCACAAAATTGCTTATCCAGATCACAGCACTTCCCAATGTTGAACTAAAAATTTGTAGCCACTCCGAACTGAGAACAAACCTTTTCTATCATAATCTCAAACTAGTTTACCCCCTCTACTCCGGACACTCAATGGGATTGATAAAAGTAACTCTCGCTCAGGTGGCGTTTTACTTGCCATTCTTAGCAACTTCCCAGGCCCCAGTGGTTGAAATTAAGTCACAAGAGCCTAAAAGAATCAGGTCCAGGCTACCAATCTCTATCTTAATCCTTTTTGAAGGCTCATGTTGGGAATTTAACATGCACAACGGAATATAAACAATAGTTAAATTTCCATCAAGGATCTGATACGAATTATACATTTGTTGAATTCTACAAACACTTTTGCTTATCTTAAACACAAACAATCACTATTTAAAATTCACAGTTGTCCAATTATCCAACTTCCAATAGAAATTCATATAGATATTTACGTGTAAAATATTTTATTGTATAAATATGTGATTAAATCCAAATTTATAGAGCGATAGAAGACGTTTTTCAAAATTTAATGGCCAAAGTTCGACGCTTTTCAAAGTTCAGGGGCCAAAATTCGACCACCTCAAAGTTCGATGAGCAGTAGAAGACAATTTTCAAATTTTAGTGGTCAAAATTCGACCATCATAAAGTTTAACACTGTGAATGGGAGCCACGTGTACGTTCCTCCAGCCACGTCCCCAATTCTGTTAGTTTGAGACGAACGTTATGCTAGTGAGTAACGTACAACATTTTTTAAAGTTCAGTCTTCAAAACTCGACATTTTAAATTCTAGTGAGCAATTGAAGATATGGATCTGAGTTTAGTGACCAAATATATATATGTATATATAATATGTGGACTAATTCTATCTAGCCCTCACGAGTCAAGAGAAGACTAGTTGGTGAGTCCTTGAGGAGCATTGCATTGATTCATACAATTCTCAATCTCCGTGATATCTTCCTCTTCTTGCATCTTCAATTAATCTAGAGTGATCCTATAGTTATAGGGGCTTAGTTCACAGGCCCCTGCCAGGGAAGACACAAGATGGGCCCCACAATAATTTTTTTTTAACTATAGGTGGGCCCCTCAACACAGTGAGGGGCCTGTAAAGCCCCTGTGAAAGAATGCCCTGTACGCAAGGCATTCTTCATTAATCTAAGTGCAACTTATATTCTTTATTAGTTAGCATGTAGATCTAAATAATTGGACAAGCCCATAATGGTTACAATAGAATCATAGGTTCAAAATAAATAAGAGCTCACAAGTCCATAAAATGACAACAAAAATAAATCAATCAATCAACCATTCAACACATTCAAATAATCGAGTTCATAATCATCCACTTACATTCATTATATAAATGTATTCCTATATAATATATAATATTATGTATGAACATATTTCAAGTTTCTAGAAATTATGTTTGTCTGAATTAATTTAGATAAATGGATTGAAAGTAATTAATCAAATTAATTAATTAATTTAATTAAAATCAAATTTTAATTAAATTTCAAATTAGAGTGCAACTCAAATTTCAAGAATATGTTAGGGTGGAATAATTTAATTAAATATCAAAATAGAGTCCAACTCTAAATCTAATTGAATCAACAGTTTAATTGAGGATAAAACTCCTAAGTAAATTAATATTCAATTTAAGGTGGAAGTTTAATATTTAAGTTTAAATTCAATTTTAATAATACAATATAAAAGTCGTCAATTTACAATAAAATTTTGAACTGGTCTACATTGAATTATAAATCAAACCAATAATTTTTTTTTAAAATTGCAATCAGACCCTTAGTCTTAAATTAAAAATAGGTCCTTCAATCTCAAAAATTACATTACACGTTCTTTATTTCAAAATTGCATTTTGACCTTATTCCATTGCAGGTAGTGGCTCGCAATTTCAGAAATTGCACAAGGAGCTCCATCCCCAAATCACGCCCGAAACCCTAAAACTCTTTCCAAATATTTTGGAAGCACAGACGGCACACCACACACCATAGCAGTGCTCAATGTTGTCGTGCCATTTAAAGGCGTCTAACATCGTTGTGGATGCAAAGCAGCGTTGGCCGCATCATAGGCTGCTTTGCATGTGGTAGTCGTGCCGTCGTCATGAAGCGGCCACGCCTGTGCAGACGACGGCTGTTGTCGTCAGCCACTCCTCTCGATCCCTTTTTTTTTTTTTTTTTATACCGAAATTCAATTTTCTTTCAAAAACAAAGTTTTAAAGATGAAAATAATTTTTCTTTTAAATTGTTAGATACAAGAAAAATAATAACAATAATTTTTTTAGAAATTGTTAGATACAAGAAAAATAATAACAATCACAATTTGATTGATGCAAAATAGTTTCTAACAAGCACAAAGTACACGATGATACGACTATTGAGAATTTACATAACATGCACAGCGAAATATAAACAATATTTCAATTGTTATCAAAGATCTTTTTCATGTTTAGAAAGAAACTGTGATAGGAATTTATATCTTCGTTGAATTCTGTAAACTCTTTTGCTTATTTTGAATACAAATAATCACAATCTGCAATCCACAGCCGTTCAATTATTCAGACTCTAATGAAAATCCACACATAGAACAAGAATGAGAGAATTATGAGATATCTTTTCTTGTGTGGGCAAGATCAAGAATTGTTTTGTATTTTTTTCTCAAACTCTAACAGCTTATTAATAAAAGTTTAATTGGGCTTGACCCGTCTCATAAACTTAACCCAGTTCAATACTTAATTAATTGAATTTGATCCATGAATTAATTAATCCAAGTAATTAACTTGGACTTATTAACAAGCAACACAATAATTGATTGTCCAATGCTTATCAATTAGATAATAAATATCATTCTTATTGTTCTCTTTTGTGTGTGGCCCATTAGGTTCCTAATCTCGATATTTAACTATATAAATTATTATTTTGATATAATCATAATCGATAAATTAAAATATCATTTTTCGATTTATCATCAATTCATATTCATCGTCCTAGATTTACATATAACAATATGTTAGGACAATACATGTGATAGGAAATATCAAGTGATATGATAAAATCAAAATTATTCGTTTACCCTAAAACTATAATCCCTTTATCAATATAATCCTATCAATTACGAGACAGGAAAGTGTGTCAATCTCGATAATCGATCATATCTTTCATTCCATTTTTAAGTCTATAAGTCGAAAACTCTTTTCGACTTATGAGCACACTTTGGCCAATGATTTTATTATCAGCTTAACTTATTGAAATATAGATCACAATCTCTTACAATCCAAGAGTGATAAATTCTTTATTGATCATTACAAGTTTCATATTACTTTTGATGTATCTGAACGATGTCGTATTAGCAACTCTTGGCAAATCAACATCCAATATCATTAAAGTATGACTATCCTCATATAAGGTACTACGATAATCTCAAGTCAAATAACCAATTCCATAAGTAAGAATTGTAACACGTGATTTTCTATCCATAATAATTGAGTCGATTTAAAATAATTAGCCCAATGAAGTTAAAATATACTAAGGTCCATAAAATCATAAGGCCCATCTTAGTTTTTCAAAAAAAAATAATAATAATAATAATAAATAAATAAATAAATAAAATCATAATTACTCAATTATTCCTTTTAATTAAAGATAATTGAGTGGTCACCTGTAACACACGAAATTTTTTTAAAAATAAATAAATAAATAAAATAATAGAATTTATCGTTATACTTTAAAAAAAAATGGACAAATGAAATATATTTTAAATTCCTATCTTATCTAGAGTTAAATAATTAGATTTTAATAAAAAGAGATGAAGTATATCGATATTGGATGGGGATGAAAATTCTTTTATATTGAATAAAACAACGATAAAATACAATCTTTGTTTTATGATATACTCCACCTTGGATTTGACTCGATGAAATAAATTTTTGGTTTATCAATTACTCTAGCCTATAGGTATGATGGAAGAGTTTTGCATACACAAATCCAGATATTCACTTACGGTAGAGAGAGAGAGAGAGAGAGAGAGAGAGAGAGTGTTAGAAATCTTAAAGTTTGCATGGATCATTGTCAATCAATACACTTTCATCATAGCGGAGAGGTTGAGAAAAGAATTTGGGTACGAGCAGAGAGAGATGAGCAGTGTTAGAAATCTAAAAGTTTGCATGCATCATTGTCAATCAATACACTTTCACCGTAGCGAAGAGGTTGAGAAAAGAATTTGGGTACGAGCAACTATATTTCATTTTATTTGGCAAGGTAAGATACTATTATGCAAGTGTTTTCGTTTCCTTATACTTTTATTTTTAATTAAATATGTATAGATTGCTAGTGGACTTTCGAGTTCCTTAAAGAGAGAGATGAGTACGTGATTATTAGACAAAAGATTGGTGTGTCGCTTGGTCACCAATATAATCCATAAGAGCGGAGTGGTATGAAGTGTAGATTTTATTTGTTATATAATTGTGTATGAAAACTGCATGTATTTTACTGGGTGTTTTTCAAACACTCACTCTTACAAATTTTTACAGATTAATTTGGTTCAATTGGAATTATGTTGGGATGGTGATACTGATTGCCAAGTGAACAAAGAATGGAAAAGATATTAAACATTTAATTTGTTTCTTTTCATGCTCTAAATTTAATTGTTAGTTTTTATTTGTTCAAAAACTTTGGTTTAATTAGTCCATTGAATGTATTTAAATTTTTAGAAACTCAGATCTCGCGTTTAAATTGATATTTATTGTTGAAAATAAAGAATTTCTTTTTATTTGAGACGTTTAGCAATTATTAAAGAGAAAATTGAATTTTTCGTAACACTCCAGCGTTTATAAAAATTTGGGGCATTACTGACAATATGGTATCAGAGTACGAGTTTACTCTCCCGTAGATTCGTCGTCACTGTTCATGTAGGAAAGACATTTTTTTAAAAAAATTGTTTCTTTAATTTTGAAGAATAAATGTTTGTTTAAATTGATTTTGAATAATAGTAATTTAGAATTTAAATTATTATGGTTTAATGCCCACAGTTTAAGTTTCACGTGTGATAAATTTTTATGGGTTTAAATTTAGCCCTTGGTGATGTTTTAAAAATGTACCAATTTGAAAATTTAAGAGATTTCACTTTCAACTTATTGTTTGAGTTTTGTTGATTACGTGATTGCAAAATTGAAAGGCTTTGCCAAAAACACCTAAACTATCCAAGAAGAGTTTGGGATTTAAGCGATTCGTCTGTGACCCCTCTCCTCATCTGGAAGCCTTCTAGTTGCGCATTATTAAAAGTGACGAGGAGAAAAACAATATTTCAAACATTGTAGTTAAAAAAAAGGGTCTATTTTTTTACTTTTTTTGGAAACTTTATTTCGAGAAAATCATATTACACACACACATACATGCATATATGTTTGTTAAAAAAATGTTATAAGAATACTTGGCACGTGGCATTCACTATTATGAAATGAATCCTTTTTACGTTTATTTTTCTAGTATGGTTATAAGTCATGTTTCTACATGTCATGAAATATATAAGTATGTTGCCGCGTGTGACTTATTAGTTGAATTTTTTTATATTGTTTATGTGAATTTTGAATGAAACTAGCTGTCACTCGAAATCTAGCGTAAAGTTACGTTGGTCACATGATTAGGATTTGGAAAATAACCAGGATCACTGGAAATAGCCCAACACCCCTGATGTGTAATTCACTCATTAAACTAAAGCTTCTAAATCACGTTTTTTTATTTGTTCTTGGGCACTTTTGAACCTTTTGATGCGTGTGTTCATGTTGTTTTACAGTTTGGACAACTCTCAAGAAAATACCACAATTTGGAGCTTGTGATGAGCAAAAATGATGATTATTGAAATGGAGCATGAATAAGCAAGTAGTGAAGAAGATCGGAATGGAAAATAGGCTTGAAAAATGAATGAGAGTGTTGCACGGCAGTACCATGGGCGCCACGGTGCCCAAGAGAAACCAATGATCCAGCAGTGGGCTTGGTGCCACGGCGCCAGACCTGGGCGCCATGGCGCCCAACAAGAGGAAACAAGAGCAGTAGCACTGGCGCCTGGATCCCGAAACGCATAAAATTCGAATTTTTAATTATTCCATGGGCGCCACGGTGCCCAAGAGAAACCAATGATCCAGCAGTGGGCTTGGTGCCACGGCGCCAGACCTGGGCGCCATGGCGCCCAACAAGAGGAAACAAGAGCAGC